AATGATCTATTTAATTCGGGCTTTCAGTACCTTAGTCTTTAGCAGAGAATTGACTTGTTAATTTTAAAATATTTTTATCTCTTTATTAGTCTCAATTAATTTATATTTACCGTTTAGTGCTCTATCAAATTACTTAATTAATAAAAAAAATTCAGCTCTTGGATTTATTCATCAACACAATTGTTTCAGGATTTTCAAACTCTCTAAGGTTGTCTTTATTATTTTCATTTATTTTGTGTTCCATATTTATTTTATTGTTCTTTTCCTAACATCTTGAAATGGAATATTTTTAAATAAAAGAAAATACTTAAACCTAGAAAATTTCCTGAGTATAGATATGACTTTATCTTATACATTTAATAAAGTTTCCACTTTCAATATTTTGTAAATAGTCTAATTTTTCTATTTTCTTTGGTTAAATAATTATAAGCTTTTTAGAAAGATTTGAGGTCTCTTTATAACATGTTACTAATGTAATTTTAGTTCATTGTGGTGTAGGAACTTGTTCTACACAATGAGAAAATAAAATAATTTTTTAAAGTGACTTATATGATCAATTTGAATTGCTCAAATTCTCACCATCTAAATAGCTTGTTCAACAGATTTTAGTATATGCCTTTTTATTTGTGGGGGTATATTCTAAGGGGGTTTCCCAGGTGGCACCAAAGGTAAAGAACACGCCTGCCAATGCAGGAGACAAAAAAGACGTGGGTTTGATTCCTGGGTATGGAAGATCCCTTGGAGTAGGAAATGGCAACCCACTCCAGTATTCTTGCCTGGAAAATTCCATGGACAAAGGACCCTGGCGGGCTACAGTCCATGGGAACTCAAAGAGTCAGACACAACTGAGCACAAACACACACAGAGATTATCAAGTAAAAGACTACTCTTTTCTCTGAAATTTGTCCTTTCTTCTCCAAATCCACTAATGCTCTTCTTGTTCTGTTATCATCTCTCATTTGGACAACTCAGTATCAAACAGAATTGGTGTTGCAGCCTCCAATCTCTGCTACCCTGTTTCTCCACAATGCCACTAACATACCTACCTCCTGTTTAAAAGGTTTGAATGCTTCCTCACTGCCTACGGAGTGTAGGTCAAACCTTTCCTTGATGACACCCCTAGCCCATCACAATTTCTCTCCAGGCTCACCCTGTATTCTGGGGCCCACCAGTGTTCCACCACACGGGCGCATCGCCATGCTCCAGTTGTGCTGAGCTGGGAGCTCGTTCCTGAATTCCGCGACACTCCTGGCGTTCCTTAGCGATGTAATCTTTTTAGCTATCATTATTTATCTTTCCACACGATTGTCTTTTACACCCCAAATTTGGACCCATGTCTACAGCAGTCTTCTAATATTTCTAAAACTGTGCTTCTCTATCAAGTCAGATCTCCAGAAAGTTCCATGCCTGGACTACACTTTAAGGAAACTCTTGTATGTGATAGAGACACCTTCTCAGACTAGTATTTAGAATGTGGGCCCCAGGAGGAGACAGCCTTAGCATTCACTAAAAGCTGTGGTTATAAGAAGGCATCCTTCAAGTTCCCTTTACAAAACTTACATGGTAATGCTCCCATGGAGTACAGTGCACAGAAAATCTATAGTTATTGATAGCCTGGTATGCTTTCAATTAGATAATTAAAAATGTAATACACAATGTCTCTCTTGTTTTGGCTACCAAAAAACTCAGGATGCTATTTGCTCTGAGTCTAGCATTTATGATGGGTCAACTAGCTGTGTGACTTAAACTGGTCAATTCTCAGTTTCTTTATCTATAAAACAAAAGTAACCAATACCTACTTTACACAGAGAAATGTGTGAGAAATCAGGCATGCTGTCTGGTCACTTGTTAAAAATATGGACTATAGCCTTCTGAGAAACTGAACACTAAAATGCACAGTGGTTGGACCAGATAAAAATGGAACTCTGATCCACAATCTTCTCAAGAAACCAACCCCTGTATCTCCAAGGAAATAACCCACACCAACTCCTGTATCCTCAAGGAAACAACCCACACCAACCCCTGTGTCCACAGGGAAACAACCCAACACCAACCCTGTATTCTCAAGGAAACAACCCACAACAGCCCCTATGTCCACAAGGAAACAACCCACACCAGTCCGTGTCTACAAGGAAACAACCCACACCAACCCCTGTGTCCACAAGGAAACAACCCAACATCAACCCTGTATTCTCAAGGAAACAACCCACAACAGCCCCTGTGTCCACAAGGAAACAACCCACACCAACCCCTGTGTCCACAAGGAAACAACCCACACCAACCCCTGTGTCCACAAGGAAACAACCCAACACCAACCCTGTATCCTCAAGGAAACAACCACACCAACCTCTGTGTCCTCAAGGAAACAACCCACACCAACCCCTGTGTCCTCAAGGCAACAACCCACACCAACCCCTGTATCCACAGGGAAACAACTCACACTTACCTCTGTATCCTCAAGTTAACAACCCACACCAACTCCTGTATCCTCAAGGAAACAACCCACACCAACACCTGTATCCTCAAGGAAACACCTCAGACCAACCCCTGTATCCACAAGGAAACAACTCACACCAACCCCTGTGTCCTCAAGGAAACAGCCCACACCAACCCCTGTATCCTCAAGGAAACACCTCAGACCAACCCCTGTATCCACAAGGAAACAACTCACACCAACCCCTGTGTCCTCAAGGAAACAGCCCACACCAACCCCTGTATCCTCAAGGAAACACCTCAGACCAACCCCTGTATCCACAAGGAAACACCTCAGACCAACCCCTGTGTCCACAAGGAAACAACCCACACCAACCCCTGTGTCCACAGGGAAACAACCCAGGAAGCCAGCCTTCTATAAGTCACACTGCTTCTCTGGCAATAATCCAAAAAGCTAAATGATAACTTCTGCAACAACTGGCCCCCAAAGGCTAGGAGTTATAAGCGACAGCTTCTGTAATTTTTGTCTCTGCTTTCACCTGAGGACCACCCGGAGAAAGTCACGTCTGCGCCCCTGCGCAGTCACATGGAATGCCCCCTTCTCATCAGCCTGCCTCCCGCCTCCCCAGCAGCCACTCCCCACCAGGGCGTACTGAAGCCGCCTGCTATTTCCAGAGCGCGTTCCCACTGGTCTGCGTGGCTCTGAGAGAACACACGTTTGGTCGTGCTGAGTGAGCAGCCTTTGCTTTCCTCTGGCGGGCCTCTCTTGGCCCGTCCGCTTTCGCCCGTGGGACGCCGCGCTCGGTGCCAGCGGGATGCGGAGCTCGGCCTCGCCCGCGGGGAGCTCACTTTCTAGGGAGAGCCGGCAAAGACACAGATGGGGCGGGCAGCACGCTGAGGATGTCATGGCGGCAGTGCAGACCGCGCGGAGCTGGCGGGCAGCTGGGCGTCAGCGGCGGCCTGCCTTAGCTGGCGGGCAGACAGGACTGCTCTGTGTAGGCGAGATCTGAGCTGCGGCACAGAGGATGAGAATAAGCTGGCCCCAAACGGGGCAAAGAGCATTCCAGGCATAGAGGATCTGAGAACAGTGAGGGCCCAAGGTGGGAAACCACTCGGCAGGTTCCAGGAGGCCAGCGAGACCGAGGCCCAGCGGGAAGAGAGTGGCATGAGAGGCAAACGAACAAGTATTAGCTATGGCTAATAGCTATTGCTTTAACAACCTCTTGTTGCCTTAGTTGCAGTTTCAAATACTTGAAAGAAAACTTATCTATCCATCTATCTATTTATTTGGCTGCCCCAGGGCTTAGCTGTGGCACTTGGGAGCGCCCATCTCTGTTGCAGCATGTGGGATCTTCTTCTTTAGTTGTAGTGTGTGGGACCATGAATTGAACCCGGAGCCCTCTGCATTGGGAGCTCAGAGTCGTAGCTGTTTGACCGCCGTGGACGTCCCAGTTTCACACACTTTGAAGTGGTCACTACGGTTTTGAAAAGTGAAATACGTCATTGTGTATGTGTGTTAGTCGCTCAGTTGTGTCTGACTCCTTGTGACCCCATGGACTGTAGCCTGCCAGACTCCTCTGGCTGTAGGATTTCCCCAGGACAGAATACTGCAGGGGGTTGCCAGCCCCTTCTCTAGGGGATCTTCCCAACCCAGGGATTGAATCCACATCTGCTGCATCTCAGGCAGATTCTTTACCGTTTATTGTCTGAGTCACCAGTGAAGCCACCATTAATTAGAAATAATTTTAATAGCTAATATTTATCAAGAGCTTACTATTTTCTAGGACTTAAATATTTAATTCTGTACTTAATCCTGTATGGTAGACTACTATTACTTTCTACCGATGAGGAAGTGGAACAGAGAGTTTAGTAGATCTATCAAAGCTTTGCCAAAGCTGACATAGGAAATGAGTTGCAGAGCAGGATTTGAACTGGGCGGTTCCACTCCAAAGCTGGCCATAAGCTACTGTGCAGTGCTGCCCCTTCACGCTACACATCTCCTGCGACTCCTCTTTTGATGGAACATACAGGTCCTCCTGACTTTATAACAGTTACTATGCTTGCTGGTAGCAGGAAACAAACTGGACTCTAGTCTATAATCTCCTATCAGGGATTCACATAACTTCAGATTATTTATGATTAAGTAACAGGATCTAATGGAGCATGAGAAAAATTTCCCTCACAAGAAAAATAAAACACTGAAATAAACATTCTGATAATCATTCTCAGTTTGCAGAATTTATCTACTATTTAATCTCTACCATAATTTATAACACAGATGTTTCTGTGGGTCAAAGTATGCCCAGCTGGCAAATAGTTGTGATTTTGCCCTCCTGGGGAAACCAACAATTAGTGCAAGGAGAACACAATGAAGATTGCTTTTATTATTTAAATAAATTTGGTCAGAGAAAAGAAGCAGGCAAAATAATCTGAGGATGGTAAAGGCATTGTTAACCACTCATTTTTCAGGCGGAGTCCTGTTTCAGGGTTGATACCCTCTGACTGCCCCAAGCCTCCCCCATCAAGCAGCCCCTCAGTCAGGACTGCACCCGCAGGGCCTCACTTACATTCCCATCGTGGTTTGGGCACGACAGAGGCTTCCCTGCAGCCACGGCAGTGACGGTCTCCAGAATGGAGGACTCCTCGGCGCTGCTGCCTGGAGATCGCTGCAGCACGTCCATCAGGTTGGTGATGAAGAAGTTGTTCTGCAGCGCGGCCACCCCCTTCTCGGGCAGGATGGAGGTCTGGCGGCACACGGGGCAGGAGAGGGTTAAGCTGTGGGCGGGGATGTAGTTCTGCAGGCACCTGTCGGGGGCAGAAGCGGGCTGTTAGCACAGCAGGGCTCTGCAGTGGCTCCAAGGCTGCTCTGAGTAAGCTTCCGTTGTGGTCTCCTTCGCTAGAATAAGTGCATCTCTGAAGTCAATGTGTCACATTACATTGGACTGGTCAGCCATCTGGACAAATGATGCTCAAGGAAAATCTCATTGACTCCAGTATTCTTGCCTGGGAAATCCCATGAACAGAGGAGCCTGGTAGGCTACAGCCTATGGGGTCACAAAGAGTCGGACATGACTGAGAAACTGCAGTTTAGTTTAGTTAGGTACTGTTTCCAAGAGCTTTGCACACAAGCAAAGTATCGTCCATGGTGGGCATCACTGGCCTCACCAGGGAGCTTGGAAAAAATGCAGACTCAAACTCACAGGGCCCACTCCAGGTCTGGTGAATCAGACTCCCAGGCCATCTGTATGCCCATTTGAGATTAAGAAGCATTGGCCTAGAGTACCTGGTATGACATTGACGAATTTGTGGAATTTTACACAAATTGGGAGAAACATGTCACTTTCTGTTCTTGTTAGCATTGAAACTCTTTACACACAAGATCATAAGCAGACTTCAGATATCAAAAACATCAAAGTGGAAACGCTTTGTTTGAAATGGGGATGTGACACACCATCTCTTCTTACTTCTCCTTAAGAGCCATCAATTTCATTCACTTAATCAGCAAAGAAAGAAAGAAAGAGAGCACCAAGTCGTGTCCGACTCTTGTGATCCCATGAACCTGTCAGGAGCTTGCCAGGTTCCTCCATCCATGGGATTCTCCAAGCAAGAATACTGGAGTGGGTTGCCATTTCCTTTTCCAGGGGATCTTCCTGACCCAGGAATGAAACCAGGTCTCCCGCAATGCAGGCAGAAGCTTTACTGACTGAGCTACGCTGGATAAATAATGACGGATCCACACGCTTCTCACTAAATATAAAGTATAGTGGGTCCTTGAACAATGTGGGAATCAGGGGCGCTGACCCTCAGTGCAGTGGAAAATCCAAAAATCCACCCATGACTCAGAGCCAACCTTTCAATTAGCCGGTTCCTAGACATCCAGGGTTTATACCTGCAGATTCAACCAACCACAGGTCTTGTCATTCTGCAGTATTAACTACTATTAACTATTGAAAACAATCTGCAAATGATAAACTCATGCAGTTCATGTGTTGTTTGAGGGTCAACTGTACTTCCAACAATCCTGTGATCACTTTTAAATGTATGAAGAAACACAGGCAGGGAGAGGATAGGCTACTTGCCCAAGGGACTTAGATGTCCAAACCCAGACAGTCTGGCACCAGAATCTAAGCTTGCCATAACTACAATGTTTCCCAGCTTCTATAACAAATAGAATTTGAAAACCTCTTATTTCTCCCCATTTCTCTTATTTTGCAGATGGGGAAACTGACATCAAGGAGGTTAACTGATTTTCCCTATGTCACACAGGGATTCCCAGGAGGCCCAAATGATAAAGAACCTGCCTGCCAATAAGACATAAGGATGTGGGTACGATCCCTGGGTTGGGAAGATCCCCTGGAGAAGGAAATGGCAACCCACTCCAGTATTCCTGCCTGGAGAATCCCATGGACAGAGGAGCCTGGCGAGCTACAGTCTGTGGGGTTGCCGAGTCAGATATGATGGAAGTGACTTAGCACAGAGGCACACATGTCACACAAGTAGATAGCACTGAATTAATATCAGGAATGAAGTAACTTCTGCTAAGGTCACCAGCAACACTGAAATCTAACACACATTTTTCAGTTCTGTCATTCATCAAGCTTGTCTACTCCCCCACTCCCCGCTCCTTTTTTATCTTTCCTTGCCTTATGATACCACACTCACCTGGTTCTCCTTCTGCCTGCTATGTCTTTCCTACTGAGAGTCAGTATACTCTGGACTTAATCGAGGCTGATCTTAAGGCCTCTTCTCTCCCTGGGGTATTATATTATATTATACTACATAACAATAAGCATAACACTCTCATATATACGTTTCCTCCCATGGATGTCTCCTCTGAGCCCCATGTCTCTCTCCTCTGGCAGAGAGACAAGCCAAGAGTACACCAACTGCTCTCTTGCATCTCTTCTTAGAGATCTCACAGGTCCTAAAACTCCACGTGTCCAAAAGCAAACCCACGATCTTCCCACACTCTTTGTCCTCCTTCTCAGCAGTAAACTGCATCTCCATCCTTTCATCTAAGCAAACCCAAACCAGGAGTGGTTTTTAAAACAGTAAGAATTCCCTTACTGGTCTTCATTGTTCATATCCAACCCATCACCAAAGCCTGAAAATATCTTGCCAGGCTTCCCAGGTCTCTTCATCTGTATCATACCACCCTTGCTCAGATTTCTGCAGTCACCCTACCCCTGGTATACTGTCATCCATCTTATATCCCCCTCATCCTTCTCCATATTATAACCAGAATGGTCCTCCCCAAATGTAAAGTTTAATCTCCTCCCCTCATATCTAAGATGAAACCCTTCCATGGCTTCCACTGTTCTTATAGGCGAGACAAGGATCCACACGTGATAATGTGGATTGCGAACCCATGTGATCTGGCTTCTACATTTATCTGTCTTCCTCTAATTTGCTACACATCTGTCACCCTAGGCTTATTTAAGTTCTTCCCAAGTGTCATGGTCCCTCTCACTCTATACCTCTGCAACATACCTGAAATTCTTTTCTTCTGCTTACTCCCCCTTTGCTAAACTAATTTTTCTTCATCCTTGGGATTTTTGCCTAATCATCGCTTCTGCATGGAAGCCTTCTGCATTAGAGCCACTTGTCCTATTATATGGTTGCCTGTGTACTTCTGGTCCATGGCCATTGTGACTGGTTTAATTTCCTATTAATCTGAGTGAATAGGTGACTAATGACTGGCTGCTTCTCTTGGCTGGAAGCTTCATAAAGCCAGGGACTATGTCTGCATCCTCCATGCCCCACTGATGGCATTCTGGAAGAAATGAGAAGAAGCGAGTGGCTGTCCACTGAGCAGCCAGCCTTTGTGCCCGGCAAGAGGCAGAGACAATGGTCCTGGGTCTCCTCTCCTCCGGCAGAGAGACAAGCCGTGAATTTTTGTCTCTCACTTAGGGAAAGCTGCCAACACCTTGCAAAGGAAATCAGTTTGGTGCACATGGTGCTCGAACTTTCACGTGGCGTTCCCTAGGGACTTGCTTTGGCTGGCTCTTGAAAACCTCCAGCACTAGCTATTGGATGCAGCGTGGAAGTGGCCTGGGCTAGACCTGAAAGACAGCGCAAGAGGAACAGCCAGGGCAGTCCAGAAGTGCTGCTCTCACCGGTCAGCACAAGCGAACGGGAACCAGGCACCAGCCTGAGCAGACACGAACCCCGGCGGCTCTGCCAGGCTCAAGCCAAGTGGCTCTCAGCGGTGAGCGCAGAGAGTGCCCAGCTATATCGATTCCTGAATGTCAAATATGACCTTTCCACGTGAGTCCAGGGACATGTGCAATTAGCAGGTAGTCATGTTTTAGCCATGTCCATTGAGTCAGGGAGAAAAATCACTCTCCTTGTTGCCATTCTGGAATATGAATTACAAAGTACTCAGTACTTATAATTATATTCATCATTATAAAATTAGGAATAAAGTACAAACTTTCGGTGCCCTATATACTACCGCTTAAAACAAACAAAAAACTGTACATGCACTTGTGTGCATGCATGAACACACACAACAACAACCCAAAACAAAGAAAGCAAAACAGAACACCACAACCACCAGTAACAAATCCACTTTCTCATCCATCCGTCACCACCAAGGCTGTGGCTATCCTACTGTAATTGAGACTTTCCAAAGTAAATCAACTCAAAGCATGTTCAGGGAAACAACAAGTGTACATTAAACTGGATGGCAAATGCAATTAGCATTGATTTGAAGTCACTGAAAACACCAATTTTCTGTTCTATGATAGGAGGTAGAAAATTTTAACTATGTGTATTAAATAATAAAAGAAAATGTACTTACTAAATGCTATAACACATAATTAACATTTGTTAAGAAAAATATGCCAACTTACTAGGAAAATACTAAAATTAGATCACAGATAAACTAATTCCCAACAACATTTTTTATGCCTAATTGCTGATGGGGTAAGTTGAACATGAGGGTAAAAATATATTTTGAAAACTGGTTAACTCAGTGGAAAAAACTATTCAAGAAAGAATATTCAGGTAATTTACAGTTATTTCTCACACACACACACACACACACACACACACACACACACACACACAGAGATGTTTCTTCATCTGAAACATCATCAAATATACCATTAATGTGTGTCTTCTGAAGTATCTCTGGAAGAAAACTCCCTCCTTTGAACTAACCCCTCATATACGCATGTATATTACCTGATTTGTTATGCAGGAGAAAATGATACATTTTTAATTATGTAAATATAAACTCTTCACTCAGTTGTGTCTGACTCTTTGCGACCCCATGGACTGTAGCCCACCAGGCTCCTCTGTCCATGTAATTCTCCAGGCAAGAATACTGGAGAGCGTTGCCATTCCCTTCTCTAGGGGATCTTCCCAACTAAGGGATCAAACCCAGGTTTCCCGCACTGTGGGCAGATTCTTTACCATCTGAGAACCTGGGAAGACTTTTAATTGGCCCTCATCAAAGATTCTCTATGAGGGCAAAAATGGTTTCACCAAGAACAAAGGGAAAAGTTTTAAAAACCTGAATCTTAAAATATTTAATGCTCCATCTCCCATGGAAATAAATCAGTAGCTATTGGATTGCTTCCTCCGGCTTGTAGTTCCTTGAAAGTAAATTCTTTGCAACTCATGATTACGTTTCTAGATGTCTATCAGAAGCACAAAAGACTTATCATCTCCCATAGGTAACTGCAGAATTCTGGACCACACAGAATTGGTTGTAGGAAGTCAGTCTGTGAAACCCCCTTCTCCGAGCACAGAGGCTTACCTCTCGCAGAAAGTGTGCAGACAGGGGAGAACCTTGGGATTCTTGTACCTCTCCAGGCATATACTGCAAATCAGAAACTGCTTGTCAATCTGGCGCACCACAGGACTGGGGATGCTGGTGGCTTCACTGGCCATCCTAGACCACTGACATGGGGGGCCGGCTGTCTTTGACCCTGCACGCTGCTGCTGTCAGACAGAAAGACCAAAATGGAGACACATGTAGTAATCTGCAAACACCGATCAACCACTGCTTTACCTGCTGGGGCACTGTGCTCTGAATGCGGGTAGGGTTCCATGTTGTGACCCTGGTGTAGCCAACTGGCAGCGTTACAGAGGGTGTACAGTGAGGGGCCTGTTTTTTAAAATAAATAATCATCAATAAAATAAAATATTAAGATAATAAAAAATAATCAATAAAATCATCATATGTTCACTTGGCAAACAAAAAAGTTAGAATAAGGTAGCTTGCTGGGAGATTCACAGATATGGAGAACAAACTAGTGGTTACCAGTGAGGGGAGAGATGGGGAGACATATCGATACAGTGATGGGGGAGTGCAGGGTACAAACTATTGAGGGAAAGACAGGCTCAGGGATGTATCCTGCAACGTGGGAAATGTAGCCAATATTTTGTAATCGCTGTACATGGAAAGTAACCTTTAAAAGTTGTATCAAAAATTAAATTGCTACAAGGAAAAAAAGAGGCATCTTGCTGGATTTCAAAGCAGGGGCAGCTGAAGGGATAGATACTCACATAGCTCTGCCTTTTCACACCTTCAGCCTCGATGATATCTGAATATATATGTATAGTCTTATTAAAATATAGTCTATTATAGTCTGTATTAAATAGAATAGTCTTATTAGGATAGAATGTGTTTTCTCAATTATTATACTTGAAGGGGGTCAAAATATGCCACATCCAAATAAGCCACTTTGACATAAGGATTATTTTGAGCTGAAGTCAACTGAGAAATAGCAGATGAGGAACAGCTCTCTCCCTCTGCCATCTGTCGACACAGGCAGGGCACCATTCCCATTCATAAACGTGCACCACTCTTCAACACCAGAAAGAGAAGGAGACTCTTAATCACCAGAGTGGAGTGTGCACAAACTTGACTAAACATCCCTTACCCACTGTACACATCCTGGTCACCTTCCCACAGTTTACTGTCCCTAGAGGTCCAAACTTTTCCTTCGTCTAGCCAATTCTCCAGTTTGTGGTCCTTTACTGAAATAGTATATAAACTCTTGGGTCTAACCACTTCTTCTATTCTATGAAGCTCCTATCAATGTAAAATTTAAAATATTAAATCAATAAAGTTCAACAAAACATATTTTATCTTGAAAAAATGAAATATCAGTAAAATGTGTATATCTTTTTTGTCTGCCATCTGTCTTTTGCCACTTTAATTCACAGGCTTCAGGTATGAACTTAAGTGTATAGAAGAAAAATGGTTCCTTCCCTATATACTATTAATATGCAGGAATGGAATAATTAGAAATTTTCAGTGAAAACTTTGTATGTAGTTCAGACTATTTTCTTTAGAACTAAAGGTTTATAGTCTTCATACTAATATGTATTTGTCATGAAGTGGGGACAAAGGCTAGAGGCAATCTCTATTATTTTAAGCAACATCTGTTGGTGTTCATGTGTGGGTATCTGAGGGACTGGTGAAGTGAATTAATCCAGAGGAGGTTTCCAATGTGAGAGTTCAGGTCAGCAAAAGAGAATTGGAAGAGGGTAACAAAGAAAGCAGAGGGTTATGAAAGAATACGGGAAGGAAAAATTATAACATAGAACACAACTCCATTTATCACCTTAAAGAATTTCTGGTTTCTGTCCCAAAGAGGTGAAACAAGGCTGAGCTAAAATTCATTTACTAATTGTCTAATATTTGCAAAGGTGTCCACAGCTCCTGCCCCAAATCCCAATAGAAATGCTCTATTCAAAAAAAAATGTATGACCCTAGGTGGGAGGAAGGGAAGTATTCATGGATTGTTTAAGCTGAGGTTCAGTTAGGAAGTTTGCCAGAATGCCAAACCCATGACCTTTTCACCCTTTAAACCACTATAACTCTCCTAGACTTGGGTTTTCAGAAGGCTGTGCTATGGAAGCTTGATTTACATACAACATTTTAACTTGATCCAGGACCTGTGTTCACAGAAGCAACAATTTCACACTTTCTAAAAGAAATGTTATTTTCCAAGTACAAATGGTGTTTCTTCTTTCTCTCCACTAAATCACCAACTTTTAAAAAAGTATGTCAACTTTCCCGCAGAAATATATTGGAGTACAGATACAAACATGACACACCCATTTTCCAACTCTATGCCTTCTAGGTAAGTTCTCTAAAGAGCATGATTACTAAATAGATTGGGCTTGTAAAAGCACCTGCTATATAAGTGTCACGTTCAAATGGAACTCACTGCATTAGTTAAATGGTGTAGGTGTGACAGATCTAATTAGCCAGGATTATCTGCTAGACTTTCATAGAATGAAAGTACCAGAGTAGAGAGTGATACCCATTGACTGAATTAAATGCAGCTCTTTTCTCAGGAGCTCAAAGTGTTAGCACATCATCAACTTTTCTTTGACTGCATCCCTAAGATATCCCTAAGAATAGGGAAGGGATGGATTTGTCTGGCTTTAAGATAAGGAAACCAAAGCTGAGGGTTTAAATGACTTGGCCAAGGTCATCTAGTAAAATCAGTGAATCAGAAAGCTCAGATTTCAAGTTTTCTGCCTTATCTGATAAGTTAATGTTACCTAATTAATTGTAAGCAAGTTTAACATTTGACTAGGGTGTGTGTGTGTGACTTATAAAGATTATAGACTTCTCACTTCAGCAGCACTTACACTGGAACAATACAGAAGATTGGTTTAGTCCCTGAGCAAGAATGACATACCAAGCATTCCATATATATATATTTTTTAAATCATACTATATGGCTGATTCATGTTGAGGTTTGACAGGAAACAACAAAATTCTGTAAAGCAATTATCATTCAATTAAAAAATAAATAGGACTTCCCTGCTGGTCCAAGGGTTAAGATTTTAGGCTCCCAATGCAGGGGGCCCAGGTTCAATCCTTGGTCAGGGAACTAGATCCCACATGCCGCAACTAAAGATTCCACGTGTGGCAACTAAGACCCAGTGTAGCCAAATAAATTAAAAAATTTTAAAATAAATAAATAATAAAAATAATAAATAAATTAATAAAATTGTAAAAATCATACTAAACTTTTCAGTTAAAATCAGTTAAAAAGAATTTTATTTTGAATAGCTTTTGAAAATGTTCTCGTTGAAATGGAGTAGGATCAAATGGTCCTTGCTGCCCCCCCCCATGTCCTCTGCCTGCCTTTTGCCTGTGGAAAACTTTAGTCAAAGAATAAGTTTAATTAGAGAAGTGAGACAAGCTGAAACAAAGGGAAACAGTCAAAGGAGACTAAATAATAATAATGCAGTCATCAAGCACAGGCAAGCCAAATAGCATATTCTTTGAAATAATCAGTCATGCTGAGTACTGAGGTAAGCAGAGAGAAAACATCAAACTGGATATTACTCTTTTTTTAACCTTAAACTTTCAATTTTGGCAAGAAAAAAACATTTGTTCTGATCAAACGATAATATGCTGACTAAATGACATTTCCTGAGCAGACATTTTTATTCTCCAAAGAGGAAATAAAAAACATTTCATTCTAATTTTCACTCTAATTCCACGATAATTACTGTAGTGGGTGAGAGGAAGTCTTTGTCAGTATTGTTAATCTATATGGTACATTAAGTTTACTCATTAGCAGTAATTTGAAATCATGACAACATCACAGTCTGTCACAAGTGACCTGTTGAAGACTTCTGGATTTTCAGGACTCCCAGAATCAACACAAGAGGTTTCCAGCCCCCCAAGAGCTCCAAACCAAGACTTTGCCAAGATAATGATCATTCCCTGAAGACAACTGGATAGCCACAGAAGAAAGAAATTGGACTGCTCCTGGAGGGAGAACGTGCTCAGAAACACGGAGGCACAAAATGTGCTTGTAAGCATTGTGTGAAGCGTTCCAACCATCCGAATATGCCACAGGAATGTCCACGGAACATCTGACAGCCTTTCTCCATCAAAGCATCTGGGCACAACTGCAGATTCTGGTCCCCTTTGATTAGAAAAGCTGTAAATACTTACTGGGCTTCCCCAGTAATCTACCTGCAATGCAGGAGCCACGGGAGACACAGCTTCAATCCCTGGGTCTGGAAGATCGCCTGGAGGAGGACACAGCAACTCACTCCAGTATTCTTGCCTGAAAAACCCCACGGACAGAGGAGCCTGGCGGGCTACAGGCTGTAGCGTCCCATGGAGTTGGACACGACTGAAGTGACTTAGCACGCACGCGTGCAAATACTTATCTAGATGCTCAGCTACTCTCCTTTCCCCTTCTTGGTTTCTGAACTGTCTGAGATCCTTCTTACACACATAACCAGTAGAAATTAAGAGCTTGGTAATAAAAATCAGAATATAGAACTACTCTTTGGCTGGGGGTCTGCAAGACACACATGAAAATACCTGGCTGTAGTCGGTCTCTGCGGGAGCCAACACGCTTCAGGATGCAGTGACTAGCAGTGTCTGTTCACAAGAGGCCGGCAGAGAGGCGATGATACAGAAGAGAGGGCAGAGCGAGCCATGTTAAAGCCACACCAACAGCCAACATTAGTGTAGCATTGACGCGAGCCAGCTGTGAGAGCTCTTGTGTGGGGAGACCAGCGGAGGGCCCTTGCCGGTGGAAAACCAACAGTACCGCTTACAGCGGGGCTCGCGCCCCACTCAGATCTTTGCTTTATATCCCCATCTCATTCTGCCCACTCTGTTTAAAATTGATACTTGCCCCAATCTCCTAGCACTTATCAACCCCGTCCTTGCTCCGTTTTTCTCCCTAGCACTGGTCCCTTTCCAATACAGGCTGCGATGTATTTATTGTGAACATTGCCTCCTCCCCACCTCATCCCTACTCTACGACATAAGATTCACAAAGGCAGGGATTTTTATCTGATTGCTCTGAAGTAGTCCCAGCACCCAGAACTGTGCCTGGTACATAGTACACACGTTAAAAAAACACTTTTTAGTTCGTACTGGGGTATAGCCAATCAAGATGTTGTGACAGTCTCTGGTGGACAGCAGAGGGACTCAGCCATAC